GAGCACTAGGTGGTTAATCAATTCACTTACCTTGGTAGCCGCATCCGCAACGAGGGGTGTATAGCAAGTGAAGTTAGTTCGCGTATTGCAAAAGCTATAACTGCCTTCTCGAATCGGCGAAAACTTTCTTGACAGAAAAGGGTTTCCTTCAGTCTGAAAGACCGTGTTTACAAGGCCACAGTGAGGGTCGTCCTACTCTATGAGAGTGAGTATTGGCCCCTTCAGTCTTACGGTGAGGTTCTTTCAATTCCTTTATCATCGTTGTGTGCGAAACATTGTTGGTATCTGATGGCACCAAGGTGTCCGTAATTATGATATGCGTGGGCGTGTGTAAATCGGTAAAGGGCAGGCCAATTCTTTAGAATAACAGACAATGCTGAACAAGTTGCGTTGGCTTAGGCATGTACTGCGAATGACTGATCACCACGTACCGAGAAGGGCCTTGTTTTGTTTGCCAGATGTAGGGTGGTGCAAGTCCTGAGCTAGAAAAATTAACATGGCAGAGGGAGATGAAGTTGGTGACTACCCAACTCGGGTCGTCGGTCCGTCTCGCCATCCAAACTGAAGTCCACGTGACCCACCTTGTGCTTGGCTTGAGACATTACAGTACAGGGTGACCACGATGTCCCTGGTAATTGTTTATAACAGAATTTTTGCAATACCATGTATTATGTAACGTTTGCACATTTATCATAATAGTTATAGCGTGTAGGTACATACTTCTACCTTTCAATTTTCAGGCTACATTAGAAAAATGACCTACACAAGTCCCTAAACCATTAAAGAAAGACTCATAGCTGCTGTTTGGATACATTATCGAGTGCCAGACAAAAGTACAATGACTGACGTTGCCACCAAATTGCAGTAGAGTTTCAATAAGCCTGCACCAAAAAGGACACATTAGTGGCATGGGAGAAAAAAATATTTGCATCTGGATCTGTGCTGGATGCCCCTCGAATGGAGCATGTGGAAATCATTCAGCAGTTAGTTTTCAGTTCTCCAACGAAATCGACACGTAAGAGATCTGCTGAATTGCATATTCCTCGCTCCACACTCCGAAAGGTACGCAAAACTAACCTAGGCATGTCAGCATTCAGGCCAATGCAGGTCAGTGAACTGTCCGATATTGATCGACAGAATTGAATGGAAGCGTGTCAACACCTTTCCAGGAATTCCCCACTAAAATCGGTGGCCACAATGTCTGTTTAATGATGAATGTGTTGTCTATCTCAGCTCACGATCACGAAACGTTTACATTCGGAGCAAGATTAACTCATACTATGCTGAGGAAATCGCCCACAACCCACTGCACGTCATGATGTGGGCGGCAGTGTCAGTCACCGAAACCACTGGGTCAATTTTTCGAAAACTCAGCGGATTATTTCATCTACTGAAAAATGTTGGAGACCCAATTCATTCCACAAATGGTTTCCACTGGAATCATGCATGTAGCCATACTGCAGCAAGATGGTGCTCCTGCACATTTTGCCATCTCGGTGCGCCGGTTCCTGGATGAGAATTTCTCTGGCCGGTTGATTGGACGCGGATGACAGCATCAATAGTCAGCTCACAGTCCTGACCGCCCGTCATGCTACAATGCCTTCTGGGGCATGATGAAAGAAGACATCAGAAAAACACGTTACAACAAAACAGAAAAACTTAAAGCTGCAATCCGTGCTTCATTGAACTCGATTTTCCCTGATGTTCTGCAAAGCATCTCAGCACGCACTTGGAGACGCGTTCGTCTATGTGCTGAGAATGACGGTGAACACACAGACACATTGGATCCATGACAGTGTGATCATAGGCTAGCACATATTTGTTACAATAAATCGCATTGATCAGCGAAGAGCCCTTCTTTTCCTACACAAGTATCATGTACAGTTTTTTTATATTTGTACACTGATTTCGTAGGTATATGTATAAACGTGGAGTGTCCGGGGACTTTTTGACCACCCTGTAAATGGCTCGCAGTCGGCACCAGTGGCGTAACTACTGTCATCCCGTAGGCGGACTACCTGTTCAAAGTGTGTTTGGTGACGAGTTGTGTGCAAGTTAATGGCTGATTACGATGCGGAGCAGTAAAACTTGCAGGGAAGGTGCCTCGCCGATGTCGCCTTATCTTTGCACAATAGCCAGCTGTTTGTGACGGAATAATGTTGAAGACGTGTAGGCGCCTTGACCCTGTATGTTTGCTTAGGTCATCAATGTCTTCTGGTAAATCTCCTTCTCTCTTATCATTCTTCGGTCCACAGGTCAGAATGGTTGTACGACAGCGAAGTATCAGTGCAAATTATTAGTGTACTGCTGTTGATGATGATCTTAACTGAAACCAATTCATCTTCTGTGCCTCGAGTTTGCATAGTTCTCTGAACGAAATTCTGCGGATATTAATTACCCGCGAATAGGCTTTGTACGAGTTTTAACTAGTCCGCGAACGCGTCTTTGCCACATATCTTTCTTGATTGCACGGTTAGCCGTCGAACAAGTTTCCGTTGCTGGCTAGGTGGGAATAAGTAGGTAAGGGGAGTATAGTGCCCGTTCACGTTGCCATTCTATGGACACTACGTGCCTAAAAGTTTGGGATTCAAGAGACAAAATACCTGATTGGTTAAGTACTATTGTTGACATGGCCAACAGCCAAACTCAATGGCATATGTGTTGAGGTTCTTCTCTTCCCCACCAGCTTAATACCCTTCCCTCCAACCACGATCTCACCTTCGAAGCATAGCATTAAACAAAGCATATAATTGTTGTTTTACTTTTGGTGTTTTGTTTTCGCTTGTTCACTGTTTTTCAACCATTGAGTTGCGTTATATTGTGGCAAAACAGTTAAGGTGACTTTTCCTTTTACCCAGTGAGTAAGATGATGATAAGTATGTTTATAAAATGGGGTAGGGATTGAACTCACATCGCTTCATGCGCAGTTAAGTTACACACAGTACTAAGATCCAAGCAACCATTAAATAATTCGGATGAACATGACGTCGAGCAGCAAGAATCCAATGCCCGCATAGTGTATCAATACCATGACGGAATCGTCGGTGAAACTGAAAAGACGTGGGGTAAGCAAACCATAGTAAGAGACACTTGGAATCGAGCCCGAATAACTAACTTAAAGTGACTTCCGAGGGGTTTAGATCTAGTTCCGCCTTTACATCTCAAACAAACTAAAAATACGGCTGGGCTGGACACGCTACCGGCTGTGGATTTGAACGCTATAGGGCGCACCCCCAGATTGCGGACCAGGGAATGGTTTCCTCATAGTGGTAACCATGAATACGCCTCCCTTTCTTTGCAAGCATAATAAGTAGGCAGTCGCGGACAAGCAGCGGCAACATCTCAGTATAGGGAGCTCTTGGCCGGCCATCTAGTTATCCATCAAATACGACAAAAGCTCGTAAGACGCTGTGTCAAAGCCAATGTGGCTGGCTATAGGACCACTGATCACTCACTCCGGTAACCAAAGGTAAGTACCCAACGAAACGCGGATAAACATGCTTGTTGGCCAGCGACTTCTGTGCGGACGGATACTGAACACAACAGGGCGAATTAGTTAACTGTTAACGGTCCTCGTACCTAGATGCAGATTAAACGTTCCAACAACATGTTGATCACTCTGACGACTTACGAGTCAGATCGGTAAGACCAAAGGCTCCGACTGGGGTTCTTTAAGTCGATTTCTTACAATGACCTGGGCAACCGGAAAGCTATCTACCTACACGACAAATAAAGCTAAGTAAGTATTCTAATGACTGCCTTTTCTATCCCCTTCTGTTGCAAATTAATGGACCCCACTTGGAGTCTATGGTCTCACAGAGCTGACCTGCAAGACAGCAGAACGACTAAGGTATTTCGTCAAAATATCCAATAAACCGCTGGACACAAAGACTGTTAACAGCTAAGTGACTCATTCGCCCTGGTGTTTGGCAGCGGTCCGCATAGTAGTTAGTGACCAACGAGGTTGATAATCCGTTCTGCGCTTAATTACTCACTTCTGTGCACTGGCGTCATGCATTCTAGATAAATTAGTGTCTTTTGCAATTACGAAGTTATAGACCATTAGGCTACATGCAGTCGTCATTAGAAAACGGCGTGCTGTGCAAAAGGCTGTGCTAACTGCAGTTGCTTTCAAGTGGCACAGACACAGAGGGACTAGTTTCCGGAATGCAACCAATCGACAAGCAGCCAGTGCAGGAAGTTAGAAATGTCGACTTAATTTTGACCCTTGATTACCGCATTATCAAATGTGGTTTGGTTATCTATCAAGCTCAAGATGTAGACAATAAAAGAGAGTAAAATACAGGGGAGAGATTTTGGTGATTATAAAGAAGTAAGCACGACGACGACAGGGATGCAAGTAGAAACAGTTCGGTGGGGCAGCCGTCTCCGTTGCTTACATTTGACAACACAATGAAAGTTAAGTGGTAACTATCACGTGAAGGGTAAAAGTAATCGGTGGAAACAAAAGTGGACAGATACTAGCAATATAGTTTGGATAACCTAGACTACTGTTTGTGAAAGATAAGGCAACCCACTCGAAAATCCTCAACGGACGATGTAAGATAAAGCTGTATAATGACCAAGCGGTCATTATTGCTGGTGGTTTGATAAAGCGTCATGGTAGGGTGCAGAAACAACGAAGCAAAGTTGCAACATATATCAAGACCGAAAGGCAAGTTAAAAGTGAGATTAATGTGATCACAGCAAATTGTCATTGATGACCTAAGACACCTAAAAATTGGCCAGTTTACTTTGTTCTTCCTCAGAACAAAATTCCAAATACCGATTTAATTGTGCAACATAAATCACCGTTCAATCAATAAGTTTATTGGTGTAACCGTTATTTGCAAAAGTTAGTGCATTCGGACCGACACAGGCAGCGTAATTTACAAACTATGAACTCAAGTTTAAGACCAGCGAAAAATTCGTGCATCAAGATATGGAACTTAGTCAAAAGTGCAGCTATTCAGCAAGACAACGCCAATGGTGAGAATACTTCATGTAAAATAATAGAATAACTCACACTGAGTTTCCTTCTGAAATGTCCGCATTTTGCAAGAAAAATAAAATTCCATCAACTAAGTTAGACACCTAGATATGTGATGCAAAGCAAACTAACTTGTTTATTTTTGACTGAGAAGATGTGAGCCAAGTCATGTTCGATCGATTTCAGGTGGCTCCAGTCTAACAAATCAACAACGCTGGGAAAATATTTGAAAGTAAGTATCAAACCGTACCCATCTCCAGAAACGTCAAGTAAAGTAAACCATTTAACATTTTCGTCGTAGGAAATTTCGACACCAAGCGACTCCAGCCGCTTCCGAAAGCTGTCCATATCGAGACTTGGTCGATTATAACCCGATGTGCTGTTTGTTTTGGTACATCCAACTAGCAGGTAAAAGAGCCTTTGCATTTGAACGAGAAGATCAGACATTTGAAGCTTGACAAAAACAGTGATTATTTATGCACTACCATACCAATAATTGTGGCCTGCCAAGTGCGGTTAATTTTATAGCGGCAAAGCCCTCCTTCTTCGTGGAGCTTGTGACGTAATCAATACATCGGAGAAAAATCTCCATATTTGTATCACACTGATACTCAGATTCATAGAAGTAAGTACGTGCTGCTATCACATTTTGCGATCGATCAGCAAATTGAAGACTTGTTTGGTACTCCCGTGTTGCCGCTGCTGGTCGCACTTTGGGCTCACGGACAACCTCTGCCAAACTTTCTCTGAAAGGAGTTCAAAGCAAAATATGCACAAGAAAGCAGTAGAATTACCAAAATTAGTGCGAAATTGTGACGCTGTGGAGACAAAAGGAAAACCGGCGTACTTGACTCTCTCGACCGCCTCGGTTTCGTCTATGTCTTTTTCTACACTGTAGTCCAGTATAGACTTGACACCAAACTTTCTAATTCGGGCGATGACTTGATTAATGCTTTCAATGTTTTCTCCTCCAACGAAGTGGCCGTAAAATGTCATCTTCATAAAGGAACGAAATAAACTCCTTCCCAGTAACCTACGACCCAGTTCCATAAGCTGAAGTTTAGAGGAATTTGAAAAGCAAATGCTTACGTACTTTCTTATTGTGCCTGACCAGAAACGGCATGGAACACAGACGAAAAACGAAAAGGCCACGTACGATATCCATATTGGTTTTTGAAAGATTAGCAGTCCTTGGATCTTGAAATTTGATATCTACAGGAACGTCGCATGCGTTTGTTGATGCTCCAGGTTCACATGCAGAATGGTGAGCAAAAATACAAGCTGGGTAATGTGATGAAGTAGGCAGCAGGTGGGTCTTCCCAACAGAAACCGAATACAATCTCCGCAGCGCCATAACCACGGTAGTCCAAAGACAAAATATTTTTCCGCACCTTACTGTGGCCTAAACGATATTACCGTTACTGTGTAAAACAAGTGGTTTCAATGGTTAGTTTAATCGCCTAATTATAAAGCTCGTTGTTTTAATAGTATGCGTCTACATGAGATTTTTAATACACGCTTTGCTGCTAAGTTGTTTATTGTGTCAATGAAAGAAAGTGACATTTCACAATATAGCTGCACATTTTTCACTTTAGTGAATTTCGTTAACGAAGAATAACACGGCAAAACATCTCAAATGTGTTCGTATACAAGTGTGCAGTTTAAAAGGGGACGGGAGTGACTAATTTTTGACATGGAAAATGGGCCTGGAAGGACTTTTTGTTCCGGTACGCCAGGCTACGTTGTGATGCGAGCATGAGATGCGACGGAGATATAGATGGGGAGGTTAATGCGTAAGTAGGTACGGGAAGTGGCATTTGCTAAGATTAATTGATGGTTATGTTGGCACTATTTTAAATGATGTTAACTGGAGGAGGTCATATTGGATCTCGAGCGCCATGTTGGATGACACCGCAATTTTTTGCCGTATGGTTTGCCATCGTTATAAAAGCTGGCGTGAGTTGGAGGAAGCGATTCGCAACTTTCAATTTGCGACTACCAACAGTTTTTCAAATGTCGTACGGATACTTTGAAGAAGCATTTGAAGAGAAGTGATGAGAAGACCGCGGAAAGCTTTCCGTACCGGTATGTACAATTTCAGTGCGTACATTCTACACGCGAAGGAGCAGTTGGGAAGCGGTAAGTCACAAATGTATATGTTGCATAACTGAATCCTTGCTTTCATAGATTTCGTGATTGCGGCTGCCTTGCGCGGTTCTCATTCCGTTTAAAAGGACAACTCTATGAGCGTTGCAACTTGAACCTGCAGCACACACATAGTGTTCAATTTGGTCAGCCATGGTTGTATCCCAGCAACCGACGTTTAACCGCTGAGCAAGAGTCGGAGGTTCATTCGTTAATGGACACTTTTAAAGGAAGCCTTGAAATAAGGAATCATGTGTGGCGGACTTACGGCCGGCGGATGACGAAGGCGAATTTGTGGTACATGAGGCGGAGGCACATGCGTAACACTGACAGCGAGGTTTTTCAGGTGGTTCGTTTGTTGGAGCAGCATGCGAAGTGCCGTGTGCAAAGGAATAATGATCAAATAAGGTCTGTGTATTTTGCCCCTTCATGCATGGAAGACGTTGTGCAGCGGTACTGTGAGGTACTGTTGGCGGATGCGACGCACCAAATCAACTGCGGGGGTGTATTCTGTGGCACTGCATGTTAATAGACGTTACTGGTGTTGCTATGTCATTTTTCTGCGCGTTACTGCCGAATGAGACATCGCAGAGTTACCAGGAAGCGGTGGAAGCGATGCTTGGTATGGTTCCGGCCACATCGCGTGCAAGGACGGCGGTCATGGATAAATGTGCCGCTCAAGTGGGTGCCTTTCAATCTGTGTATCCTCAGGCGCATGTGGTATTGTGTCGATTTCATGCTGTGCGAGACATGGCGAGGCGTTGCTCAAACCTGCATGCTGCGTCCCCGGAGGATAGGACAGTTTTGCGGCGATGGTTGCGTAAAATGCTATACACCAGAGATGAGGACTACTTCATGAAGCTACTGCACGCCATAGAATTGGTAATGCGGAATGCCATGATTACTTATTGCGCACATGGTTACCGTTTTCCTCATCATGGGCGGCGCATAGATTGCGAAAGGTGTGTACCTTCGGTTGTTTCACGACAAACAGGGTGGAAAACGAGAACCGGCAGCTTAAGCGCCAACTTAGTGAACGGTCTTCCGTACTTCAGCTGTTTACCGTGGTTCTTGATCGTGGGCATCGGATGATGGAAGAGAGGCGGACGAAGTTGGCCAGATGCCAGCTGAGCCCCTATGTTCCTCCAGTAAACGTTTGCCGGCTCAAAGGCGTACTGGTACATTTGACGCCATACGCGCGGGAGCAGTTAATGAGGCACCTGTCAGCGGAGGACATAATCGGATGCCGTCCTGAGGGTGTGGAGGTTGCGGTAGAGTGCAGGCGGCGTGTGGGTAACCGTACTTTCTTGGTAGGTTGCGACGGATGCGACTGTGAGTTTCAGCATCACTGGCGGATGCCGTGTGCCCACATGTGCTACGTGGCTTGCGATCAGGGTGCGGATTTGGCGGATTTGGTTCGGGGTTGTCGGTGGTGCTTACCTGATTCTCCGGCACCGGTAACTGCAATTGAATTCACGGAGGCTATGGAGTTATGCGCGTCGGAAATGGCGACCATCTCACGAGCATTGGTTTTGGACCGAGCGACGAAACTGCGTACGGCGGAGGAGGTGTTAGCGGAATTGAAGACACACATATGCACTATGGCGGCTACTAAATTTCAGGGTACGATCAGCTCTCTGAGGCGTTTCTGCGAGATGTTATTGCATGAAACGGATGTGCAACTTTTCTGCTAAACCAGACACTGCGCTTCCTCGTTATCTTTGGATAACGATAACAGCATTTCGTCCTTGGTTGGTAAACGGGGGACGTCCCCCGTGGTTCCCTGTCTTCCTGTTGGGGTGAAGGTGCCGGAGGTCGCAGCGACTGAGAAGGGCTGCTGCTCCAAAACACTTTCCGGAAGGCGCAAATCCCCACTGGTACTCCGACAGACGGAAGTGTCACTTACGGATGCATTGTCGCGCGGTGCACTTTTCCAAACGGTGTGGACCGAAACCTCCAGTGTGTACAAGTGCGATTCCATGAAGTCCACTGCTTTATCTACACCGGGGGTGGTTGAGGCAGACAAATGCGTCATATGCCTGCATTCAGAGGACCAACAGGGACTCAGTGACACGGTGGCCTGGGTGATGTGTGACCACTGCGATCGTTGGTTTCACCAATCCTGTAGTGATTATGATGGTGGCGAACTTTTCAAATGCTTGTTCTGTATGGATTAGCGGGAAAACGAAGGCTTGCGGATATGGTGTGAGAAACGCAGGTAAGTTCCGCACGACGGATAACGATTCCATGCTTTCGTAGTGCTCCTTCTTAATCTTTTGACCCATACCCCCTGAACAAATGCCGTTGCAAAAAGTCATACAAGGATATCTGTGCGTAACACGTGGTAAGTGGCTGCATGACTGCGTTTTCCGATGTGCTATCCTCCTCATGAAGCGGGCTGTTTGTGACGCATACCGCGTGCCGTTCATACACAACCGCTGTGTCCTGCTGCAGCTTGGTGGCCTGCACACCGCTAGGGTTAGTGTGTTGTTTACCGCCGCGGCTCCTTTCTATGCATATTCCTGCACTTACGGTACGTATATAACGCGCAACTGCCTGCTTTCCATTTCGCAGGGTGTCAATGTGCCACCTGATTTCAGGACTCCGTAAACATGCCGCCTTCTACCTCCTGCTCACGGGTGGTTGATCCCGCCGTAAGCTGACGTTACATGAACTTCCGGTACGTAAATGAATGTTCCTACTTCACCTCCGATTTCACAGTGTACCCACACCGCATGTGCAATACGTAACCCGTCATATACTAAGTGCAAAATGTCTGCCATTTTCCCACGGGGCTGGCAGTCTCACTGAACACCGACAGGTACGTCACCCCGGGTTTCCCCACAACCTCTCTCCGGATAAACTGCGTAGCAGCCCACTGCCCGTTATCACTATGCAACGGTACTTTTGTGCAACCCTCGGTTTATAAGTTTCACAGGCTTCACATTCTCTCGCACCTGCACCACGTGTCGTTGACATGTCCGTGACTGCAGGTAAGTGTCCTTGCCTTCGACATAAGTGTGATTTCCTCACACATGCACCTTTTTCATCAGCAAACCTATACCTACCACCTACACGTAGTTGTTGTTCTTATTCCGTTTATTTCATAGGTATAGCAGGTTCTACATCTGTTCTCACCTCAGAATGCTATGAGACGTTCCTTCTGACGGTGGTATATTTGGCCTCAGTCACAGACGAGTTCCGGCGCTTGTCATAAAGCCTTCCCTCCTTCAGAATGGAATGCACATCAATGCCATTTCGCCGCATTTCGGTATATAAGCTGCCGCAGTCACATGCACCCCGCGAGGCGTAAGTGCCGCCGCACACAGAAGTACGCTTCCCCGGCTTCCCCGGATACGTTCCTCTGCATACACTGCATCGCAGCGGATTGCCTGTTCGCCACCTGCCCACCGCCATAGAAAGAAATCCACACCTGTGTAACCGACAGCACAAACCGTAACGCATGCACCTTGAACGTCCGGTAAGTGTCCTAGTTGTTAATACCAGCCTTTTAGAATTGCTGTGTATACATCCGACGTATCTAGTTAACCGTGCACAACTGGTCAACCTGCACGTCACCTTCGCCGCCCCTAACAAGTCCGCTGCACGTCCGGTTAATGTATCCGCTGTTAGTAAATAGCTTTTACAGAACACCTTCATCTGCCCTGCCTATGTATTCCCTCCGGAAATATTTTCCCCCCAACCCTTCACTTTTGCCGCCTCTACCTTTTCCGTTGCACACCCGGTAAGTCTATCCGCTGTTACTAAGTGGCTTTTAGAAGCTGGGTGTATCCATGCTGCTTATATTGCTGAAACCCCCTGCTGGTCCGCCTCCACGTCACCTTTGCCTCAGCTATGAAGTCCGTTGCACATTCGGTAAGTCTATCCGCTGCCAATAATTGGCTTCCAGAGAACCCTTTATTCTGCCCTGTCCATATTGCTCTTCCACCAATTATGGTCCGGCCACACGTAACGTTTGCCGCTGGCACCTTCACCGTGGAACCTCCGGTAAGTGTGTCCGCTGTTAACAAGTTGCTCTTAGAATCGCTTTTCATGCATACCGCTTATATGGATGATCCGGCACTACTAGTCATCCTGCATGTTACCTTCGCCGCCGCACGCTCCTCCGTTGCACCTACGGTAAGTCTATCCGCTGTTAATAAGTGGCTTTTAGAACGCCGGTCCATCTGCGTTGCCTATATGGTAAATACGTCACTCCTGGACAGCCTCCACGTCACCTACGACGTTGCTACCTAGTCCCTTGCACCCTAGGTAA